TCGGTCACCTTGGACACTTGGTTTGTCTTCCTGGCCCTGCCTACCAGCGTGTGTCTGATTGCTGATTCCTGCCCACCCACACATGAAGGACTTTTCCCCTACACCAAGCATGTCAAACTCAAAGGCTAACACAGGCCAAATAAATGAGGCACGTGGCCCTCGGTTCATGAGTTTGACATGCTTACACTACACTGTCTTCTCAGAGCACATGCATACGTGTGTTTGAAGGAGGTTCGAAGAGTTGGGTTTATTTTTTTTTACCCATAAAATCAACACACAGATTATTCTAGAAAGAAAACCCAGGAAGAAAACCAACTTGTAGCCTGATGACATAAGGGCTGAGCTTTCTTGGCGATTGACTCCAAGAGCAATGCATCTATCTCACTTGCTGATTGAAACGAGTAAAAACAATAATAGGTTTGGGCTATCCTCCAACCCCAAAAAGAGCAATGAACAGAAGTGGGACACGTGTGGACTGATGGAGCTGCTGTCTTTGGCTCCCTAGCATATTTCCCTCACCCCGTCCCTCCTTTTCTGATAACAGGCCTAGCCTCTGCCATGGGAGTGGCCTGGTGCAGCTCGGGGTGTCGAAGTCCTTCCAGGGGCCTCCATGATGACTTTGGAAGAAACATGTTCTCTTTTTCTTGGGGTGGTTCATTTGAGACTGCCCGTGGCCGGCTTTCCCACCACGTGGGGAGTCTACAGAACAAAGCCCAAGCAGATACCAACGTAGAGAGAGGGCAGGGAGAGCAGCCCAGGCCCCTCCGTCCTGTGAGGTACCACTGCTATCATTCCCGGCACAGGAGCCAGCACATTCCTGTCCTGCTTAAACAAGCTTAAGCGAGGTGTCTGTTCTTTGACCTCAATACAATACAAAGTGTTTAAAACCTCTGCTTTAAACTCTCTTTCGCTCACCTGCTCTTTGGAAAGCTGTTTGCAGCAAGCAATCCAAGTTTCAGATTTGGGAGGGTGAAATCCCCTATTCTGTGCTGTTGCCTGAAAGGAGGCTTAGATACTGATTGACTTTGGCCAAGAAGTTGTGATGATATTTAAAGGGCCTGGTGTGAAGTCTCACTCGGGGGAGGGGACCCACCTTGAGCTGGATCAGGGGTACCCACAGGCCACTTTGGATTTATCTTATCTCTTCATCAGGTACCAGATGGGCCCTGCCATAGAGGTCTAGCCCACAAAGCCAGGGAGAGCCCGAGGCCTGAAGGTGCTATCAGAGCCAGTTATTTTCTTTCTAGTTTGTCATAACTGATACGGGCTTATCTTTCTGGTGGCATTTCCTCAAAGGGTTCCTCTGCTTTTTTTTTAAAGCTCGTCCTAGTACAAGAGCTAAGCTCAAGGTGCCACCATAGCATGGAGGACATGCTTGAGTTATTTGCTGTCGCAGGAAGACATGCCCTGAGCTCATCTAAAACCTATAAGACATTGTTCAGGGATTAAGCAAGAGGTTTTAGGAACAGCCTTGCATTATACTTTTTAAGCTTGGTTTAAAGGCAACATCCATCTACTCTGATTCTGGAGGAGATGCTGTGGTGAAGGTTTTCAGGAATGTTGATAGCGCGGAATTGGCATTAGCCCACAGACGGTTCCCGTCCACCAAATGAAAGTCTAATGAGAGCCTGATGCATGCAGAAGCTTGCAAAAGCTGGACACTGTCAGGTTCTTAGGAAACTCATTTCAAAGGAGGTGTAGGCAAACATGGCTCTGGGAAACCCATGCTGTTTAAACAGTTGCTCAACTGATGCATGGCGTGGGCCCAGAGACATGGAAGCGTGAAACGGAGTGCAGGGTCTCAGAGGGAAGGTGGGTGGGGGGGTAGTGGGTGGGGGGGAGGTGATCAACCAAAGAACTTGTGTGCATATATGCATAACCCACGGACACAGACAATAGGGTAGGGACAGGGGGTAGGGCCGGCTGGAGGGGGTCAATGGCAAAAAAAGAGGGACATATGTTCAGCAATAAATATGTTTAGGAAAAAAAATAAACAGTTGCTCAAAAACTATTGTAATTCACCATGGATGTGAGTACTCCATAGTGGTGTGTGAAATCATTATTAGAGAACTTCTCAAAACCTACCAAATAAGTCCTCGATGGTTTGGCTCAGTGGACAGAGCATTGCCCTGAGGACTAAAGAGTCCCAGGTTCGAGTCTGGTCAAGAGCACGTACCTAAGTTGCAGGCTCAATGCCCTGGCCTTGGTCAGGGTGTGTGTGGGAGGAAACCAATGGGTGTGTCTCACATCAGTGTTTCTCTGTCTCTCCCCCTTTCTTCCATGCTCTCTAAAAAGCGATGGAAAAATATCCTCTGGTGAGAATTAACAAACAACAACAACAAAAACTACCAAATGAAGACTTTTATAAAAAAGGCATTTTCTCATCAGGTCAGATATTTTATCATTGGCTTCAGTCTCTCCTGAAGTCTTTTTATTCAAAACCAATTTAATTGCAAAAGGTCAGCATACTGTTTCTTCTGTGTGACCCTCCGAATCCTCAATTCTGCAAACAAAAACAACTATAAAAAACGTCTTCCAGCTGAAACCGGTTTGGCTCAGTGGATAGTGCGTCGGCCTGTGGACTGAAAGATCCCGGGTTCGATCCCGGTCAAGGACATGTACATTGCTTGCGAGCACATCCCCAGTGGGGAGTGTGCAGGAGGCAGCTGGTCGATGATTCTCTCTCATTGATGTTTCTGGCTCTCTATCCCTCTCCCTTTCTCTCTGTAAAAAATCAATAAAATACTTTTTTTTTTTTTAAATGTCTTCTAGTCCTAACTGGTTTGACTAAGTGGATTAGAGCATCAGCCTGTGGACTGAAGAGTCCCAGGTTTGACTCCGGTCAAAGGCATGTACCTTGGTTGTGGGCACATCGCCAGTAGGAGGTGTGCAGGAGGCAACTAATCAATGTTTCTCTCATCGATGTTTTTTTCTATCCCTCTCCCTTCCTCTCTGTAAAAAATCAATAATATATATATATATATATATATATATATATATATATGTTTTAAAAATGTCTTCCAGAGTAATCATTTCCTAAGGTATATAAATATCTAATCGCTATGATGTACACTTGAAACTCATATAACATTGTATGCCAGATGTAATTGAAAAACAAAAATTTTTAAATTTCTTCCAGCTGATGGGAGAGCAGACAGGCAAGGAGGCCTTTGTGCCTTTTATCTGAGGATTTCCTTTCACATAAACATGTATGATGGATCTGGACTGAGACTTCGTGGGTTCAAATCCTGACTTCACCTCAGTTTAGCTATGGTAGCTTGAGTAAGTCACATAACCTCTCTGAACCCCAGATTCCTCCTCTGTAAATGGGGAAACAGACGCTGCTCGAAGCTCCAGTAAAATCCCAAACACAGGGCTGTCACATGGTAAACCCACAGCTTTTATATTTACACTTGACCTTGGAGGCCCAGAGGTACAATTCCTACCTGATGAACTAAGACATCCCACCTTTCCCACGGGCTTGCCCTCCCCCTCCTCCCCCCAGCCTTGCTGTGAAGACCTTTTCTCAAAAAAAAAAATAAATAAATAAAAATACTTTGCACCAGCCAGCAGCAGGATCGGGTGCAGCCAGCCTGAGGCCAGCGCTGGAGGCCACGCCTCCCGCCCCGGGCTCCCCCTTTGAAAGAAGCGCCCCCACCTCCATCGCACACGCCGATCAGGCCTTGGCCCGCGGGCTAGGCTGTGCGTGCGCGGCGGAGGGTGGTGGCGGCCCGCACCCGCCCTCGGCCGCCTCCCCCGTCGCCGCCCCGGCGTGTCAGGTGCCGTGAGAAGCGCCGAGGGACATGACTGGAGCCCTCGGCTTTCCAGAAGCCACGCACGCAAGGCACAGCTCTGCACGCAAGGGGGAGGCGACCGCGGAGGAACTTTTCAACCCCGTCAAGTTCTCGGCCGCGCGGCCACTTACCTCCCCCTCCTCCTCCTCCTCCTCTCCCCCCTCCTCCTCCTCTGTCCCTCCTCCGCCCTGCGGGAATCCTCAGCGATCCCGCCCCCCTCCTCTCCAGCCCCCAGCTGGGCTCCGGGCCCAGCGCCCGGCCCCGGACAACCAGACCTGCGCGGCCCGCGCCCTCCGGCGGGCGGCGCCACCTGCGGGAGTCTGCACGGGGAAGCTCGGGGCCAGCTGCGCCCAGCGCTGCCAAGGACAGCGGGGCCCCGGGGCGGGGGGCGGCGTCCTGCGGGGGTTCTGACATCGCTGCAGGAGAACTCTGCGCGCACGCATATGCACATGAGCCTCACCAGCGGTCACGGACAACAGGAGGAGGGGGCATGCGTGGGGAGGGGTCTGGGATGGGAATGGGGTGGGGGGATGAGGACAATTATGGGATACATTAATCAATAAACTTTTAAAAGGGCTTCATGTATGCATGTGTCATATGAGCCTCACCAGTGGTTGCAGACAAGAGGGGGAAGGAGGGACCCGTGAGGAGGGGTTTGGGATGGGAATGGGGGGATGAGGACAATTATGGGATACCTTGATCAATAAAGATTTTTTAAGGGCTTCATTGGAGGGCCTTTTGCTTTCGAGAACGTTCAGATACAATAACGAGGGAGGCTGTCGTGGGCAAACCCTCGCCACAAACCACACTTTCCTCTTTTCCAGACGGACAGGTTTCCCTTCCTGGCTAAGGGCGCCCAAGCAATCCCGAGCGGCGTTCTCTGGGGACCGAAGCTTAAGTCCCTGAAGGGAAAAAGGGAGTTTCGGGGAGAGCATTCCGCGGCCACGATTTGGGGGGCGGTGACTGTGATCAAGAGCGGCTTTCAGGTGCACGGAAAGGTCAGACCGCCGCCACCAGGAACGTCCCCACCAGCTCCTTCTCCAAGGCCGTCGGGGCGCGCCCCGGAGCCGCCTCGCGTGACCACCTGCGTGCGGAGCCCGAGCCCGGACCGCCCGCGCCCCGCCCGCCGCGGCCCCGCCCCGCCAGGTCCGCCGCCTCCTCCGCTCAGACCTTAAAAACGGACGGCGCTCTGACTCCGGAGGGGCTGGCTGTGAGCACCCGGGCCACGCCTCTGCGGCTCCAGCTGTCAGAGCCGCCACCAGCTCGGGGGATCGTGAGAACGGGGGGATTGCCTCCACGCATACACCCCTCGCCTGAATCCCCACGCCGTTAGGAAATCCCACGTGCAGCGGGGCTCGGCGAAGGAGCCCCTTTCCTCTGCCCCCCACCCATCCCAGCGCCCCTCGCTCTGACCGCGCCTCCTGGCTCCGGCGCGAGCGCTGAGGCTCGGCAGCAGGTGCCCCGGCGGGCGCCCCGCTCTCCGGAGACGCTCAGGTCGCCGTCTCGCCCCCGCCCCTTCTCGGAGCCCGCCGGCCCTCGCCGCCGCTGGAAACCGTGCCTCTTAGCAGGTCAGTGTGTCCGCCGAGCTGCCTTCCCTTCCCGCGGCCCCTCCTGTTGGGTTCTTGAAGATCGGGGGGCGAGGAGGAGGGTGGGTAGAAGGCGCAGGGCCGGGGTGATAGTCACTTAGAGAGAGCGGAGCGCATCCATGCCCGCCGCGTGGTCCCCGAATGGCAGGGACCGTTAGGCGGCTGCGGCGGGACGGTGAGGCTGATGGCAGAGAAGCAGAAACATGCCCCTTTCCGCCGAAACCGGTTTGGCTCAGTGGATAGAGCGTAGGCCTGCAGACTGAGGGGTCCCGGGTTCGATTCCGGTCAAGGGCATATATCTTAGTTTCCGGCACATCCCCAGAAGCAGCTGATTGATGACTCTCTCATCGATGTTTCTAACTCTATGTCTTTCTCTCTCTTCCTCCCTGTAAAAAAAAAAAAAATCAATAAAATGCATTTAAAAAAAGAAAGAAAGAAAGAATGAATGAATGAAAGAAAGAAACATGCCCCCTTCCTTTTCCTATGGGGAGTGAGTTTGGGGTGGGGAAGGACGTCTTCAGTTGCTTCTCCATTGAGGCAGCCCTTCCTAGCCATCCACCCCCCAACCTTCTCCACCTCCCTCCCCACGCGCGTATGGCTCAGCCCCAGGCCGCGGACAGGAATTAACGTCCTCACACCTGAAGGTCCCGCCTCTGCGCTTCTCTCTCTGCAGCATGGCCACCAGGCTCAGCCTCGACGATCCGCTGCTGCCCATCACGCTGTCGGCCCAGCAGACCACGCTGCTGCTGCTGCTCTCGGTGCTGGCCGCCGTGCACGTGGGCCAGTGGCTGCTGCGGCAGCGGCGCCAGCCCCCCGGGTGCGCGCAGCAGCCCCCGGGCCCGTTCGCGTGGCCGCTGATCGGGAACGCCGCGGCCCTGGGCCCCGCGCCGCACCTCGCCTTCCAGCGCCTGGCGCGGCGCTACGGCGACGTCTTCCAGATCCGCCTGGGCGGCTGCCCGGTGGTGGTGCTCAACGGCGGGCGCGCCATCCGCCAGGCGCTGGTGCAGCAGGCCACGGCCTTCGCCGACCGGCCGGCCTTCGCCTCCTTCCGCGTGGTGTCCCGCGGCCGCAGCCTGGCGTTCGGCCGGCACTCGGAGCGCTGGAAGGCGCAGCGGCGCGCGGCGCAGGCGGCCATGCGCGCCTTCTCGCCGCTGCAGCCCCGCGGCCGGCGCGCCCTGCAGGCGCACGTGCTGGCCGAGGCGCGCGAGCTGGTGCGGCTGCTGGTGCGCGGCAGCGCGGGCGGCGCCGCCCTGGACCCGCGGCCGCTCACGCTGGTGGCCGTGGCCAACGTGATGAGCGCCGCGTGCTTCGGCTGCCGCTACGACCACGGCGACGCCGAGTTCCGCGAGCTGCTCGCCCACAACGAGGACTTCGGGCGCACGGTGGGCGCGGGCAGCCTGGTGGACGTGCTGCCCTGGCTGCTGCGCTTCCCCAACCCGGTGCGCGCCACCTACCGCGAGTTCGAGCTGCTCAACCGCAACTTCAGCGGCTTCGTGGAGGACAAGTTCCTGCGGCACCGCGACAGCTTCCGCCCCGGCGCCGCCCCGCGCGACCTGATGGACGCCTGCATCCTCTCGGTGGCCAAGGAGGCGGCCCCGGGCTCCTCCGAGGGCTCCGGCGACGGCGCGGCGCGGCTGGACCAGGACTACGTGCCGTCCACCGTCACCGACATCTTCGGCGCCAGCCAGGACACGCTCTCCACCGCGCTGCAGTGGATTCTTGTCCTTCTCACCAGGTAAAGCCTCCGGGAGGCGGCGTGGGTCAGGCCTTGTTTTCCTCCTAGAAAAGGTGCATGGGAGCCGAAACCGGTTTGGCTCAGTGGATAGAGCGTAGGCCTGCGGACTGAGGTGGGGTCCCGGGTTCGATTCCCATCTGGGGCATGTGCCTTGGTTGTGGGCCCATCCCCAGTGGGGGGAGGGGGTGTGTGCAGGGGGCAGCTGATCGATGACTCTCTTTCATCGATGTTTCTGACTCTCCATCCCTCTCTCTTCCTCTCTGTAAAAAATCAATAAAAAATATAAATTAAAGAAAGGTGAATGGGGGTGGGTGGGAGGGTTTGGGAGGCAATGGGGAGATAAGGACACACATGCAATACCTTAATAAAATAAAATTAAAATTAAATAAAGCCCCCCCAAAAAAAGTGCAGTGGGACCAGCATAGGCTGAAGTCGCGACCAGTGCGCCAGGAGGATTTGAGGTTGCGCTGCAGGACGCCACCTCTCAGGTCTGACATCGCGTCCTCAAACCTCAGAGGCAGCAGGAGGGCCAGGGACACGCGAGCGGGCACGCCCCACCCAGCGGGACTCTCCGAATCTCTGATCTTGTCGCTGCGTCTCCAAGTAGGAACACATTTGTGAGAACCCCCCTGGAAAAACAAGATTTTATTAAGTGCCCGCAGATCAGCCCAGATCTCTTCCTCCCTGCCACGGGAGAAGCATCATTGGAAAGAAGGAAAGGGTAGCGTGGTTGGTGTGTTAAATGCTCACCGCAGCCTTAGCCAGCTCCGCCCGCCCCAGGCTTGGCCCCGGGTGTGTTAGTTCACATGGACTTGGACGTTCTGCATTTTCTTTCTGACGCCTCCGATATGGAAAGGCAAAGACGGCTTTTTATTAGAATCCCCTGCAACACTGCAACCTTTAGACCCTGTGCTGCTATTTCACAAATGGAACATTTTGAATATTTAACATCGCTTCTCTGTATTATGGTCACAGAAACTCACAGTGGGGGAGGTAGGTCAGAAAGAAAACATCCCAAAAGGAGATCAATAAATCTTTAGGGTTCCCAGATAAACATAGGTATTATCTTTTGAAACAGACTTTCTCTTTTGGCAACAGATTGGGCAGAGAAAGGAAATAAAACAAGGTTGAGGTCACCTTCCATTCCATATAGCTGATAAGTACAATACATTTTTCTTCATCCACGTCTGTAAATAGGTTTTATCAAAAGGAATAAAATACATTTACCTATTGGCTATGGCTGCTTTCATACTGCAGCACTGGCAGAGTTGAACAATTGGCACAAAGAGCGTTTGGTCTGCAGGGTTGCAGTAATTATTTACTTTTTATTTTTTTTACTTCTGACATTTCCACTTATTGTAATGGCTATTTCCTCATCTTTTAAACTTTGTTTTGATAATTTAAAAAAATCATATTGCTAGATTTCTAACATGCCTACATTAGTAATTTTTGATGGTCACATAATATTTTGCCATAGTAATATAATCATTGCATATAACCATTGCTTGAGCTTTACTGTGGTCGTTTGCATTTTAAAAATTTCAGCCGTGGTTGTGGTTCTATATTTTTGTATTTTGTTATCTCCTGAAAATACATTGCTAGGTGGATTGCCCTTTTGGACCTTGCTTTGTAATAAGATTTTGTTTTCCAAAAGGACTGGGCTAGTGTATGCCACCAATAGTGAATGCATATTTCAATTGGTACCATAATCTCATGAACACTGGGAATTTGCTTTCACATTTAGACGATATGCCAATCACCTTTGTACCAACGAGAACAGTAGTGAGATTAGGGGGGAAGGATCTTCTTTCAGGGCTGCATTTTAACTTTTAAGGGCCTTGGGTGCTTTGCTTTTGTCTTTGTAGATACCTTACTCCATAAAAAAAGAAAATTGTATTTTATGAATATATTGGTATAAAGATAAATACATTAAAATTATATGTTAAAACATTTTCTTTGACTGAAAAGTTCATTTGAAAGAAAATATTTCTTGGGCCTCTGAAAAGTATTTTGCGTCCTAAGCATTGTGCCCACAGGAGAAGTTGGCCTTGTCCATTATCAGACTGTTTCAGGCTGAGAAAACTTAGAACCTTTTTTGACTTCTGATAGGAGAGAGAGTGTTAGCCATGGGAGGCCTATTAAGGAAAAGTAACCGCTAACTTATCCATCCTGTGATTTAGTGAGGAATTAGGAAATTGTTTTAGTTTTTTTTTGGGGGGGGGGCACAGAAAAGTGAAGTCAGCCCCCGATTCAGATAAAGAAAGTGGGATTAAAATAAATGGTAACGTGCTTTCTAGGTCAAAGAAGAATGAGCTTTCCTCACCCGTTTTTTTCTCCCTCTGCATTGTTACCAAATAGGTACCCTGCAGTGCAGGCCCGGCTGCAGGCAGAACTGGATCAAGTCGTGGGTCGAGACCGTCTGCCCTGCCTGGACGATCAGCCCAAACTGCCCTACACCATGGCCTTTATCTACGAAACCATGCGCTTCTCCAGCTTCGTGCCCATCACCATTCCTCACGCCACCACCGCCGACACCTCCGTCCTGGGCTACCACATCCCCAAGGACACGGTGGTGTTTGTGAACCAGTATTCCGTGAACCACGACCCCCTGACGTGGCCTCGCCCGGAGGACTTCGATCCCACCCGGTTCTTGGACCAGGACGGCCTCTTCAGCAAGGACCTGGCCAGCAGCGTGATGATTTTTTCGATGGGCAAGCGGCGCTGCATCGGGGAAGAGATCTCCAAGACGCTGCTGTTCCTCCTCACTGCCGTCCTGGCTCACCAGTGCAGCTTCCAGACCAATCCCGACGAGTCCGCCAGAATGGATTTCACTTACGGCCTGAGCATCAAACCCAAGTCCTTCAAGGTCAACGTCAGCCTCAGAGAGTCCATGGAGCTCCTGGACAAGGCTGTCCAGACGCTACAAGCCGAGGAAGACTGCCAGTGAGAAGCCAGAAGCAAACTGGAATTTCAGAAGGAGTTTGGGGGGATGGGGAGTAACGTTTTCCAGCTCCTCCGGGCCACTTTCTCTCAGCTGGCGTCCAAAGGGAGCCCACGTCAGCACTGGGCTGTGCAGGAGTCCTGGGGAGATTTCCTTTCCGTTCAGGAGGGAAGAGGCCCACAGAAGTTGCACACACACGCGTAATGCTGGGAGTGCTTTCTCCAGAGAGCATTCTTTGGAGGTGAAACACATCTGGGCCCACATGCAGAACCGCCTGGTGAAGAGGTACTTCCAATAGCCATGCTTTCGTGGGTGGGGTCCCAGGTGGATGTTCTGTGGGCTGAACAGCCGTTATAAAACCGTATTTAGCAAAGTTTCAGCATAGATTGTTAAATAGGCACAGGCAAATAACTTCAGTGTAAGACATGTGATTGGGGGTGAGAGGGAAAAGATTCAGACCGGAAATTTCCTTCTCGTCTTGTTAGTACCATAGCTTAAGTTAAGGGCAGTGGTCGGCACACTGCGGCTCGAGAGCCACGTGCGGCTCTTTGGCCCCTTGAGTGTTTTCTGCAAATGCCAGCTTAGGAGTGCCCTGGTTAATTGAATAACAATGTACCTACCTGTATAGTTTAAGTTTTAAAAAAAAATGGGCTCTCAAAAGAAATTTCAATCGTTGCACTGTTGATATTTGGCTCTGTTGACTAATGAGTTTGCCGACCACTGGCTCAGGGTATCTGTGGATGGATTTATCTTTTGGCCTACTGATGTGCTTTCTCATGCCTTTTTGGGTGGTTCATAAAGTCTTTTGCTGAAAAGGAAATTCATAGTAGTTGGTTTAATGATTATAGTGGGTTTCAGTAATTTATCATTAATTATAAAATGTAAGTAGTTAAATTGTAAAACATTCCAAGCTGTGTTGATTGCCAAAGTACAGAATTTCAATTGTAAGCAACATCCCCCCCCCAAAAAAAAAACCAACAACGCACAAGTCTTACCAGCCCAGCTAAGCTTTAAATCATGTAATTGCAATGCACTGAGTTTAATAATTAGCATAGCTTTTAAAAAAAATCAATAGTACTCAGTTTGTATACACATATAATTAATTATTCATAGGCAGTAAGTATTAGTTACTTTATTATTACATTCTTAGTATTATTTTGGTCAAGAAAAGGTTGCACAACATATATCTTTTATATTGTCATAGAAAATTGAAATGTATGACCAATTCAACTAATTCTGTCTCAAATACTTGAAATGAGTTAGATTAAGTCAACTACCTATTTTTGACATGGAAACCAAGTTGAAGTAAAGCCTTGCCTTTCATCCAAAACTCGAATGACAACTGAAAAATCTCAAAATTGGATCTACAAGATGTCACTTCCTTATTACTTTACAATATATTTATTAAAATTCTATTCATAATACAGAATCTCTTTTAAAAACTGACCAAGTTAATACGTTATAATTCCAAATTCTTGGCACACTTAAAATTTAATGTAATTTTAAAGACATTCTAATTATTGAGAACAAGTTGAAGTTCCCGGAAATCTGACCGTTAGCCATTGGAACGCAGAGAAATTGCACCTGTGTTTCCTGATGAATAGCCAACAATGCAACAAGTTACCTGGATGTTATCTTTATTAAGAAAGAAGAGGGAAAATTATATAACAGACCTATTTTTTTTTTCCTTTTAAATTATTTTTAAAAATAGCATTAATGTCAGTGTTTTGGAAAGTCAGAATCAGAAGGCAGTCTCGGGGGGCTGTTTTGGGCACTGCGTTGTGTATTGCTGAAGCTGGTCAGATAAATTGTATTGTCTAAGATGGGCAACCCAGGGAGCTGTACCTTTGGTAACTGAAAACATAAAGCCTGAACTAAACGTATACATTCAGTTTATGCAAATAATCTGAAAACCTTTAAAAAGTAAGAGTACAAAATGAAGTTTGAAAGTCTAACTTTCATCAAAATCATGAAGGAGTGTATCATGGTTGTGTGTGTAGAGGTGGAAAGAGTAAAGAGTGAAAAACTGAAAAGGAAGAAAGATGATTAAAGACTTCCCTACCCATTCCAATTTAATTAATTTGAAATATAAATATTTAGAAAAAAGACGTTTTTTCATATACCTTTATTAAATCCCAAGTAGACTTTTAAAAATCCACAACATATTAGATCTATTTTGTAACTCAAAATTCTTTTTTAATCCTCCCCTAAGGATGTGTTTTTATTGATTTTTCTTTAGTGAGAAGGGAAGGGAGAGAGAGAGAAGCATCAATATGAGAGAGAAACATCGATAGGTTGCCTCCCATATGCACCCTGACCAGGACTGAACCCACAACCGGGAATTGAACTCACAACCTTTTGGTGTTCAGGACGTCACTCCAACCAACTGAGCCACCCGGCCAGAGCTGTAATTTGAAAAAAAAATTTTTTAATAGAAATTTCACATAATTTTAATTATAAAATCTCATAGCCGTTCATCTTCAATGAAATGAAAAACTGTTTGTGCCAGTATTTTTAAGGGCTCTAAAGTCAACTATAGAAATGAGGCCTACCAATACATTTAAACTTTTCTGGTACTGGCAATTCCAAAATACTATTACCTTCTCCCCTCCTCCCTCCAACAGGGCTGAGAATGTGACTTTGGGCTGCCTTATCCTGCTTATTCTGGGAGGTGTGCGGAGTAATCACATACTAATCTGGATGCATTGTTAAGTAGACCAGATCCAGATGTGCTGTAATCCGTTTGTACTGCAGTTTTTATGGACATGGGCTCAGCTCATGTGCTTTTTCAGCAGGGGGAAAGCTGTACTTATATAGAAGAAAGTACGGTGGATGCTTAGAGGTTAGCTGGTTTATGTAATATGTTTCTAACCTAGTTAAAGGAAGGAAAGCAAACCCCAAAACAAAGAAAAATAATCAAATTTGGGGGCTATGGTAATCATGTTACTGGCTAATCAGAAAACCTCGTTTTATTTCTGCCAGAGGGGGTGGGGGAAATGCACTTGCTGGTCACCATTATAGTCAGAACATCTACTCCAGGTAATTGCAATAAAGTATACTTAATATATAAATGCTTCATTTATATATTAAAGCTTTGACTTTATAAGAAAATTGCTTGTTTTCCAAAATAAAAAGAAGGTGTCTCAGGTTTGTTTTTTTTGGGTTATCTAAAAGCCTCCATGTCTCAGAACTTAGCCTGTACCTGTGAAATGGTATTATAGCCTTAATATTTTCATATTACATCTATATTAGATCAGATAATTGCATAGCATTATATATTCATTTGTGTGTTTTTTAGCTATGAAACAAATGTGTAATAAAAAGCTATATTTCATTAGATGTTTATAACTCAAGGATGACTTCTTATTTAACCTCTTATTATTTTTGTATTTTATCATGTATGCTTTTAATCTGTACATAGTGACTATAATGCATAGTTGTACCTGAAATAGATTTTAGGGACACAGCATTAATATGTAGCTTTTACTGTTCAATATAGCAAATTAAAAATTCTGAATCTGTAATTACCTATAATAGGACACCATTGCCGAAATAATAAAAATCACTTTCATAATCATAAAGTTTTACTTTATGTTGTAGCAAATACAGCCTAATGCATCTATTCATTTCAACTACTATTTTTTAAAATATATATTTTATTGATTTCAGAGAGAAATGGAGAGGGAGATAGAAACATCAATGATGAGAAAGCATTATCAATTGGCTGCCTCCTACATGGCCCACACTGGGGATCCAGAATCGAACCGTGACCTCCAGATTCATAGGTCGATGCTCAACCACTGAGCCACACTGGTCAGGCCTTCCTATCAACTACTATTGTTAAGTGATTAAGTTAAAATGTTGCATTGTAAGCATTTTATTTAGTCATTCTACATTTTAGGTTGCTTCCTTCCTTCCTTTCCTTTTTTTTTTTTTTTGTTTTTTTGTTTAATAGGCTTATACCACTCAGCTTCCTACCAACTTTGTGACTTCATATTTTTGAATTTGTAAGAACCAACACAGACATTCAGTTTGAATAGCAAACAACACCACCAATGTCAAAATTAATGGGAATTCATTTTAGTTTTGAAAGATTGAATTGAGTGGGACTGTAAGACTCTGGCCTTATATTTCTGCTTCGTCTAAAAAATGGAGGGCGCATTTTTCCTTGCAACAGCACATGAATCTTTTCCTTGATATTTCATTCCTTGTTTTTGGTTTTTGGGGTGTTTTTTTTTACATGTTTTATTTGGTTGATACACATTCATTCATTTGTTTTAAAAATACATACATATTAATTAATGTCCAATAAGATAGAATGGATGAGCATGTTCTGTAATACACCGCACGGGAATACTTTTCTGATGCTTATTTACCTGGGGAGACACTTGGCTTCTCAGGGCCCCTCCGTGGGCTCCAGGCCTTCACGGCCCCACCCTCCCAGAGGGCAGCGCCATGCAGCACCAAGGGCTCTGATCGCTTCCAGACTTTAGCTCCCATTGCTGTGAAAACGAGAAGAGAGATTGTGAAGTAAAATTGCACACCATGTTATTGATACACTGGCTTGAGAACATGACTTTAGCAGCCAAGGGTACGGCTAGGAATTGGTTTAACAGAATACTCACTTATTTTCCAGATGTACTAGCAAAGGATCTTGGGAATGGTAATAAAGTTTCAGGACGATTGAAGTAAATATTTTCAAAGGAAAAACAAACACATTTCTTTAACAAAATCCTAATTGGGGTCAGGTGTTGACAAACATGACAAGCCGAGTTGGGCTGTACCCAATCAATGCGCTAGAACAGCAGACTGAAGCTCAGGGTAGGGAATGAATGCAGCTTGGGACAGAAGACAGGCGTGGTTGTTGCAAACTCAAGGTCATTTCTATAACCAGTCAATCTGTCTGCACAAGGGCTTCAGAAGTTTTGGCTGCTAACGCTCCCTTATTTTGGTTCAATGACTCATATACTCTCTGCTCTCCAGTTCTGACCTATGAGTTATAATTCTTAGAGGGGGGGGAAGGAAATGAATACGATCAAATACATTCAGAAGCAGTTATTTTGAATGCAGAAGACTGGAGAAAAATAATCTAGTTTAAATAGGTAGGGGCAATCTGTAGGCAAGGAACAGCCTTTGTGTGTGGCTCCTTTATTCATGCGCACCCAGTCTCTGTAGGCTTAGTGAACACTCTTCAGTCTGTGTCAGGTGTGAGGGGAAGGAATGGAACTAAAGTATACTGAGCACTTACTGTGTATGAATCACCATGCTGATCACTGGAATGCATACAACACAACCCTGTGAGGAGGCCAAAAGTATACATTTAGAAGTGGCCATTATAAAGTCCAGCGCGGCTAGGGAGTGGACAGGAGTACTGAGGAGGGGCGACGGGGGATTGGGAAACGGAAAGAGACAGACGCAAAAACAGTAGGGAAAGCTGGGACCGGGTGGGACAGCTGTCCTCTGGTGGAGACAAGTGACCCAGAGCCGGTGCAGTGCGTTTATTATATACAGTATAATTCCAGGAAGTTTTACTAGCGTTTAAACTAAGGAAATTATGTGAAATCATGGTTAAAGATCAAGCTGTAATTTTTCATTCTTGTGGCTTGTTTGTAATGGTCACTCCTGGCTAAGCCCAGATAGTTGTGTCGGTTCCTTGGGGTGGGGGGGTTGGGTTGGGGGAGAGATCAGGGATGGGGCCAGATGGGGTGAGGGGCTGTGGGCCGATCAGGGGCAGGGCCAGGCAAGGGGAGGAGCCACGGGAGGTTGGCTGGCCAGCTCCACCCCTGAGCAGGCCATATTGGACGTCATAGCAACAGGTCGTTCTGGTTGAGAAAGCGTTCTGGTCCCTGGCTTCTTATTATAATTCAACTAGCCCTGCGCACGAATCCGTGCACCAGTAGCTCACCAATAGCTCACTGCCACCTCCAGTAGCTCTCTGCCCCTGCCCCCTGCCCCCTCCTGTAGCTCTCCGCCACCCGCTTGTAGCTCGCTGCCCCACCCTCCTGCTGATCCCTGATCCGGGCATTTCTCGGTTGGTCATTTGCATATTACATCTTTATTATATAGGATGCTATAAGTGTTCACTGAGCTTCTGGACATTGGGCATATAACACTAAACAAGGCGACCAGCTCTTAGAGCTGACATTCTAGTGGGGTGGGTGGAGAGAGAGAAGATAAAGAAATAAGACTTTAGTTCATTGTAAGTGTGCTGTCTGTAAAGACAATAAAACAGAGTGAGGTGTGTGTGTGTGTGTGTGTGTGTGTGTGTGTGTGTGTGTGTTACGGAGACTCTAGAATGAGTAGCCAGGGAAGACTTTCTGAAGGAGGTGACATGAAGAGGCAGGATTAGGGACAAGCATCCTCTCCCTCCCTCCCTATGTGAAGTAAATAGGAGCCCTGCGTTATCAGACAATAAATTAATTACCAGAAGAAAAACAAAGCTGGTTGGGAGCCATTAACTTTAATTTATGGTCACTAATGCATCACAGACCGCAGTCTAAAGTAAAATAACCTCAGCACACCCAATGACAGATGTTCCAGGCAGGCCCTTAATCAACCCCGGCTTTTGGTTTTGCCAAATGGCATCGGTGCGGTCCAGACTGTTTCCTGCCTGAGACTCCCAAGTTCATTCTGGACCATGTTCCCCTGGGAGCGCTGGAGCCATTCCTGAGGAATGACGAGGTGGCAGGCGCCCCGTGTCTCAGAGTGTGCTTGGATGCAAGTTAAAATGGCACGCTGGTCCTTCCATTTTACGTGCACCAAAAGATTTCAAATGGATTCTTTGAAACTCATCACGGATCTTCTTCTGGAATACTTGATCAGTCTGCCCCGGCCCTTAAGGAAACGTTTCTTAGGTCTGATGAAAAGGATGTCCACCCTGGTCTCCGTGGGATGCTGAGAAGCCTGTGGGCTACTGTTTCTGGGACACCAGGGCTTGGGCCACACCCAGCTTCGAGAGGGCCACACAGTTCCATCCCACACATGGAGGAAGCTGCCAGGGCTGCCTCGTGTCCGGCAGGC